CAAGGAGAATTTGAAATGTCAATGATGGGGGAGCTTACATTCTTCTTGGGGTTGCAAATCAAACAAATGAGTGATGGAATCTTCATAAGTCAAAGCAAGTATTGCAATGAACTATTGAAAAAGTTTGGTATGGAAGGGTGTAAGGAGGCTGCAACACCAATATCAAACACATGCAATCTTGACTTGGATGAGAAAGGCATAGCTGTTGATAACTCAAAGTATAGAGGTATCATTGGATCACTTTTATATTTGACAGCTAGTAGGCCTGATATAATGTTTGTTGTGTGCTTGTGTGCAAGATTTCAGGCAAATCCAAAAGAATCTCACATGAAATCTGTAAAGAGAATTCTTAAATATCTGAAAGGAACAACTAATGTAGGTTTGTGGTATCCAAAGGGAGTCTCACTACGTCTGATAGGCTACTCGAATTCAGACTATGCTTGCCGAAAGCCCGTTTCGGGCCGGTGGCGACATTGAGAAACCTTGTTGTGATAATCGATTATCTGTGAAATAATCGATTATTCCAGAAAGAGCTTTTTGGAATAGTCGATTATCCTGCAAAATAATCGATTATTCTATTCTTGAGTAATTTCCAAAATCCATGAAGAACAAATAATCGATTATCCTTAAAAATAATCGATTATCTAAGTCTGGAAACTTTATAAAAATGGTTCTCACATTCAGAAACAAAGAGAGAAGAAATTAATTGATTTTGTGAAATTTTTGTGATAAACTTTTGATCTTTGTGATCTTCTTGGAGAGTTTTCTTTGTGAAACCAAGAAGTAAAACACCTTGTGAAATGCTTTGAGAAAAAAACATTATCATCACTACATTCTTGGAAAGAGGAATTAAGATTGGTCAAGAATTCACAATCTCATTTGTTCAATTTCCAGTTGAATTCATTCCTTTAATCTTTTTGTGTATTGGGGTAAAAATCTTGAGTAGGTTTCTCAAGTAGTAAGGAATTCTTGTAGTGGGTTTCTACAAGAAGTGCTTTCTTGGGTTCAAGAAAGGGTCTATCTTATGTATTGAAGTGTGTGCATGTTTGGTAAGCTTGTAAAACTTCTTCATTGAGATAGTGGAACAAATCTTGATCAGGTTATGATTGAGGACTGGATGTAGGTCACATGTGGAGTGGCTGAACCAAGATAAAATACTTTGCACTCTTCTCTTATCCTTATCTCTTTCATTGAACAATCTTTAATTGAATGTTAAAATGGATAGTCTTGATTAATATGCTTGTATGATTAAAATGGTTTAAACTAGAAAATAAGCACTGCATATAAATTGTTGATTAAGATGATTCAATAAAGATTAATTAAGAAATCATCTAGGATTCATTCCCATATACTAAGAGGTTCAATATACTTCATTGGAAATTGGTTTTAGAAAAGTTTTTAAAGAAATTAAGATCCTTAAACTCTGAAAATGGCTAATAATAACCTACCTTATGGTGAGGGTGTGTCTATTCATAGACTTCCTATTTTCAATGGAGAGAATTATGTCTATTGGAAAATTAGAATGAAGATTTTCATTGAAGCAATTGACATTGTTATATGGGATGAAATTGAAAATGGACCCTATATTCCTAAGAATGAGGAGAGTGATGGGAAGAGAGAAAAACATTGGAGTAAGTGGAGTGATGATGAGAAAAAGAGAGCTCAATATGATTATAGAGCAAAGAACATCATAACATCTACATTGTCTATTGATGAGTTTTTTTACAATTTCTCAATGAAAATCATCGAAAGAAATGTGACACATTACAAGTCACACATGAAGGAACAAATGATGTCAAAAGATCTAGGAAACATACTCTTATAAGAGAATATGAATTACTAAGAATGAATCATGGTGAATCAATTTCTGATTTTCAAAAACGTTTTACATGTTCGATAAATCACCTTATTGATCTTGGCAAGAAATTTGAGGAAGAGGAATTAAACTTGAAGGTTCTACAATGCTTGGATAGGTCTTGGCAAGAAAAAGTTACAACAATTGAAGAACCAAAGGACCTAACCTCATTAACACTTACAACTCTCTTTGGAAAGCTAAGAGAGCATGAACAAAAGCTGCATCCATTTGATGAAAATGAACTGTATGATAAAAGGGAAAAAAAGTATCTCTAAAAGCCTTAAAATCAGTCAAAGGCAAAGAGAAATGTGAAGATTCAAGCTTTGAAGATTCTGATTTAGAGAATTTCAATTTGCTAGTGAAAAAGTTTAGAAAATTTCTAAGAAAGATGAAGGGAGAAAATTTTCTTATAATTTTTTTGAATGTGGAAAATTTGGCCATATAAAAGTTGAATGCCCCAATCTCTTAAAGAAGCAACAAAAGGAGAAGGAAGGGAAGAAAACTAACAAAGGAAAAAGAGCCTACATAGCTTGGGAAGACAATGACCTGAGTTCAACAAATAGTGAATCTGAATTTGAGGAAGTCAATCTATGGTTGATGGTTGAAGCTGATCAAGACAATATTGTAAGTGATTCTAATCTTGAGTCTAATCTTGATTATGATCAACTTCAAGAGGCATTTATTCAAATACACAATGAAGCCTTAAAATTAGATTCATTAAATACAAATCTTAAAAGAAAATTGACTTCGAATGAAAATACTTTGATTAGAGCTGAGCAAGAACTTGAAAATTTGAAAATTGAACATTATCATTTACAAACAATGTTTAGTTTCAATGAAGCTTATTGTGAGACAAGTTTTTCTACCAAATCTGAATGTGAAAGTTGCAAGTATTTACAAAGAGAAAATGCTGATTTGAAAAACCAACTTGAAAAATTCACAAATGGAAAAGCAAATCTGAACATTATATTAGGAAACCAAAGACATGCTTTTGATAAAACTAGACTTGGTTACAATCAAAGAAAGAGTATGACATTAAAAGGAAAGGATAATGGTTTTAAAAAAATACATTCTATTAGAAGAGTTAAAAACAATTTCATGAAACAAATCACATGCTTTTATTGTTGTAAAATTGTGTTAAGCCAGAAGAAGCAATTCCTAGAAAAGTTTTGAACATGACCAATATAATACATATTGTTATTACTAATCTGTGTAGTAGTGTTTCAGATATGTATAAGAATAGGGAAAGCTAAAGTATGAAGCAGGGTCAAGCAGTACAAGGATCCGATAAAACAAGCCAAATAATAGACGAATCATGGCTTACGTATCAGTCGATAATGAACAATCCAGAATGCAATAGAAGAAATCAGAAATAAGAGCAAAGTAAGACCCAAGACAAGTTGACTCAAGCATTAAACAAACATCAGATGAAGCTCAAGGGTCAATCATACATATTCAGGCAAATAATCATCGATCGTTGGACAATCCAAGATGAATAAGCATTCCATATGGAATAAGAATTATTCATTCCCAAGTTTGATCAGACGAGATGAAAAAGTCAAAATCTAAATCTTAGACGAAGACTCAATTTCCCAGACGAAAAAGAAGCGAGATGAAAAGCGTCTAGGATCCACTAGTCACAACGAAAAAGATCATACATCATCTTAAATTATAAGAGAAGCGCACGGAGTTATCAAAGATACAAGAAAAAATACAAGAGCGCGAATCCACAAGTCAAAGCTGCGTGTGTCAGAGCAAGTACACCTACTTTTTAGAAAAGCAACGCCTCCGCAACTATAATGATGGAAAAAGGACAAACATACCTAAGGCATTATTGAAGTCAGAAATAAAAGAAGACAAATCATGCAAAGGACTTCACATGAGACAAATTGAGCAAGCAAAGCATTTAATGCAAAATCAAACGCATTAAATGAAGAAGATCCGTGTAGCCATGAACGAATGCTTATCTGCACCAACAGAAAAGCTCTACCTCAACGAACACATTCAAATTCAAATAACGGGCAGATCCAACACAAGGCTAAAAATATCAAGACCTGAAAAGAAAAGAAAGAGAAAAGAAGCAACAAGCAATAAGACAAAAACAAGCGTCAAAACAACCTTACCTCTCTTCCCGTGAAAAAGTTGAATATTCGTGTAAAACTAAGATAGATTATCTTAGGGAGTGTAGAAATCATTTTATCCTCTCTGTGAGAGTTACATACACACTGTCAACACATTCCTGTAAAACTAAGGTTTAAAACCTTAGTGAGTGTTGAAACCATCTTATCTTCTTTGTGAGAGTTACATACACACTCTAAACACATTCTTGTAAAACTAAGGTTGAAAACCTTAGTGACTTTTGAAACCATCTCATCCTCTCTGCAAGAATTAGAAACACACTCAAAACAATTATTGTTTGTAAAAGCCTGAAGAGGCTAGCATAAGAATACTTGGGTAACCAGAAGTGGTTTAAGAACACTAGCGTCAGCAAGTGAAGTTGACGAACCAGGAGTGGTTGAGAATACTTGGGGAACCATAAGTGGTTTAAGAATACTGGCATCATCAAGTGAGGTTGATGAACCAGAAGTGGTTAAGAATACTTGTAATCCGTTGTGATTAGTGGAACCCTTTAGTTGAAGGAGACTGGATGTAGCTCAGAACGAGTGAACCAGTATAAAAACTCTATGCATTTTTATCTGTGTTAAAAATGTAGATTTTTCTTATATTGATCTATTACAGAAAATTACTCACTACTACTCATTTTCAAAACGAAGTTATATTTGTTGAATTCAAGGAACTATTTTCAAACAAATGATAAATCTTTAGACATAAGGCTTCTGTTAGCCAACTCTACTCTTCTCCTCAAATCATGTATAATCTCACTATCAGACGAAAAGAAACACTTTTGCGAAAACGTTTTTGAAAATCCTTCGTTTACACACATTCAACCCCTCCTTCTGTGTGTCTTCATTAAACTTTAGTTGGTATCAGAGCTTGACCCCTAGGGTTGAGCATCTAACATTGCAAGGGAACGATCATGGAAAATGAAGGATAGGCAGTAAATCGCCCACCTCTCTTCAGAGGAACCAACTACGACTACTGGAGACAAAGAATGATCGCATTCTTTGACGCTTGTCATATAGACATGTGGAAGGTAGTAGAACAGGGAGACTACATTCCACATGACAATGTTGGCAGGGGGATACCCAAGGGACGTTGGAATGAAAATCAAAAACAAAGATTTATACTAAACTCCAAAGCCAGAAATGCACTCATGTGTGCTCTAACCAAGGAAGAATATACCAAAGTACACAGCTTCAGGAGCGCCAAACAAATTTGGGATACCCTTGCCATAACCTATGAGGGATCTATAGAGGTAAAATGCAACAAGTTAAGCTTGTTGGTCTATGAACTCTTCGAGATGGAGGAAAATGAATCTATCCAAGCTATGTTTGGAAGATTTCAAACTATTGTGAATGAACTCTCTTTTCTAGGTAGGACTTATGATAATTTTGATCATATTGAAAAATTACTTCGTAGTCTACCCAGGAAATGGAGACCTCAGGTCATGGCCTTGAGAGCATTCAAGGATCTTGAAAAGCTCTCACTGGAAGAACTAGTTGGACTACTCAAAGTCCTTGAGATGGAGCTACAACAAGATGAAGCAAAAAGAAAATAGAAGTCCATTGCACTAAGTGCGCAAAAGACTAAACCTACTTCGTCATCGTCAAAAGCATTAAAAGAAAAAGAAGCATCTGAAGAAAGCTGTGACGAGGAGACATGTGATTCAGACGATGAGATATCCTTCTTGTCTAGAAAAATATACTCCATGATGAAGAAAAAGGGAGGATTGCACTGGAGAAAGTACAATAGAACCCCAAGAGAAAAGGCACAACCACTATGCTATGAATGCAAGAAACCTGGACACTACAAAATAGAATGTCCAGAGTTAGAAAAAGAAAGAGAGAAAGAAAAGAAGAGATTAACTCCTCACAAGAAGAAAGCCATGATGGCAACCTGGGAAGATCTGGACACGACATCATCTGAGGATGATGAACAGGCGAACATATGTCTAATGGCAGATATAGACTCATCATCTGAATCTGATGATGAAGAGCTTAGTAAACCTAATTTTAAAGAACTCCAGCATGCATACAATCAGCTTTTAATTGATTCTACTAAAATCTCTACTGCATATAAAGAACAAAAGAAAAGAATTTCTGAACTAGTTGAAGAGAATCTTTTATTCAAGAATGAGATTTCCAAACTATCAAAAGAATCAGAGAAAAGACTTGAGGAAATTGAAATACTAAAATCTGACCCATCATAGTTTACTCTAGGAGCTAAGAACCTTGAAAATCTTTTGAAATATTCTAAGAGTAAAGATGACAAGTCTGGGTTAGGGTATGTTGATTTTGAATTTGAAGACAAAGCAAGTGCATCTGCATATCCTATATACAATGGGCATTTCACGCCTAAGTGCAGTCACATGCACAAGAAGGGGTATTCCAAAACCTCAAACACTAACAGTTATGGACCCAAATCCATTTGGGTACCAAAGACTGAGATAATACCTGTTGTAGATTTTTTCAACAAGAAAAAGAAGTTTCTAGTTATGGTACCTGGATAGTGGCTGCTCGCGACAGATGACGAGCGAAAGGTCTATGTTCCTAGACCTCAAGTCTAAGAAATGAGGTCTAGTCAAATTTGAAGGAGGACAGAAAGGAAAAATCATGGGAATAGGTAAAATAGGTATAAACTCCTCTATCACCATTGACAACGTTCTATATGTTAAATGATTAACACATAACATGCTGAGTATAAGTCAATTATGCGATAACGGTTAGGAAGTTTCCTTCAACAAAAATAAATGTATTGTTAGTCAAACTGATTCTTCTATATTGTTTATAACTAACAGATGCAATAACTTATACAAAATAATGCTTAATGAACTAGAAGATCAAGATATTGATTGTCTAGTATCTTATGAAAACCAGTGGTTATGGCACAAGAAGCTTGGTCATGCAAGCCTGAGATTAATCTCAAAGATGAAAAAGCATAGCCTCGTAAGAGGTCTACCGAGTCTTGTGTACCAATCAAATAGCCTATGTGAAGCATGTCAAAAGGGGAAACAATTTAAAAGTTTGTTTGAAAGTAAAAATCATGTTTCCACCTCAAGACCTCTTGAACTGCTCCACATAGATTTATTTGGCCCCACTAGGATTGCATCTGTTAGTGGTAAAAGATACGGACTAGTCATTGTTGATGACTATACTAGATGGACATGGGTGCTGGTTATAACCCACAAGGATGAGTCTTTCAAGGTATTCCATGTATTCTGTAAAAGAGTTCAAAATGAAAAAAAATATCAATTGCGTCTATAAAAAGTGATCGGGGGGAGAATTTGAAAACGAGCAATTTCAAGTTTTTTGTAAAGAAAATGGAATTAAACATAATTTTTCAACTCCTAGAACTCCATAGCAAAATGGAGTTGTAGAAAGAAAGAATCTCTCTTTCCTATATCCCTATGACCAAAGATGATGATGGGAAGAGAGAAAAACATTGGAGTGAGTGGAGTGATGATGAGAGAAAAAGAGCCCAATATGACTATAGAGCAAAGAACATCATTACATCTGCGTTGTCTATTGATGAATTTTTTAGAATTTCTCAATGCAAATCTGCTAAAGAAATATGGGATACTTTGCAAGTCACTCATGAAGGAACAAGTGATGTAAATAGATCTAGAAAGTATACTCTCATAAGAGAATATGAATTGTTGAGAATGAACAATGGTGAATCAATTTCTGATTTTCAAAAGAGATTTACACACTTGATAAATCACCTTGTTGATCTTGGCAGGAAATTTGAAGAAGAAGAGTTAAATTTGAAAGTGTTGCAATGCTTGGACAGATCATGGTAAGCAAAGGTGACTGCTATAGAGGAATCAAAGGACTTGACTTCATTGACCCTTGCTACTCTCTTTGGAAAGCTGAGAGAGCATGAACAAAAGCTGCATATATTTGAGGAAAATGAACAGTAGGACAAGAAGGGCAAAGGAGTGTCACTAAGAGCCTTGAAATAAGTCAAAGGTGAAGAGGTGTGTGAAGAATCAAGCTCCGAAGATTCTGAAACAAAGAACTTCAACTTGCTGGTGAAGAAGTTCAGAAAATTCCTAAGGAAAAAGAGGAATTCCCCATACAAGTTCAATAAGAAGATTAACAAGAAAGAGGAAGCAAGTACATCCTCCTACAATTGTTTTGAGTGTGGAAAATCGGGACACATAAAAGTTGAATGTCCAAACTGTAACACCCCAGTTTTCAAAAAGATTATTATTATTATTATTATTATTATTATATGGTATTTGGTCATAATTATTTTAATAATTATAGAGGAATATTATTTTGTACGTTTTAAATAATTATTGTTTTGGACAATTATTTTGTATGTATTAAATAAGTATTTTTATTAGCATTTTTAAATAAATATTTATATGTTTTAAGAGAATGTTGATTTTATATGATATTTTTTTATTGAAATTATATTGTTATATTTTGGGTCAGAAATATATTATTATTATAGAGGAAAAATATTTTATAATATACATGCATTTATTTTATTTAATTATTTTGAGGAAAAAGAGAAGTAGGTTAGAAGAGAAGGAAAATGGGTTGGGTTGACCCAGTCCAATGGATTAATTTTAAGAAAGGAGTCAGGTAGCGTTAACTGCCTCATTTGCATTCTGAAGGGTTAGGGAAAAAAACAGGAGAAACAAAGAGCTCTAAGGAAGAATACTCAGGAACGATCTTAGATCACACCAAGACCATTTATCTTCTACTCAACCAGGTAAGGGGGGAGTGAGAAACCTTACTCTGGGTGTGGGAATGTATGTTGGGTAGTGAGATTGGCCTCCAATCCTGTGTTTGTTGTATGCTCATGTATGAGGGGTTTTCCCCAATTGTATCTGTTTCATCTATTGTTCATCTTGTATGTAATTAATTGTATAAATTGCTTGAATGAATAATTAATTTCATTTTTAAAATTGTAATTATATGATTTGAGATTTCTGTGGGTTCCTACGGGAAACCCTATGAGAAAACGGGCAAAATATGAATATTTTCTGTTTTGCCTTCTGATTGCTTTGTTGTGTTCCTTGTTGGATGTGATGCATGAGTATGTGGTTAATTTTGAAAATGAATATGTTTTTATATGAATTAGAGTGCTCTGTGAGTTCCTACGGGAAACCCTGTGAGAAAACAGGTAAAATATGAATGTTTTCTGTTTTGCCTTCTGGTTGCTTTGTTGTGTTCCTTAATGTTTGCAAAGTGTAAATATGTGTTTAATTTCGCAAATAGATGAGTTTTAATATGGATTAAAGTGCTCTGTGAGAATTGTGATTATAATGTGATAATGTGATAATGTGAATATGATGATGAAATATGATGATGTGATATGACTATGAAATGTGATATGACTATGAAAGGTGATAATGTGATATGACCATGAAATGCGATAATATGAATATGAGACATGAAATATGATGATGGAATATGACGATGAAATGCGATTATGAGATGTGATGATAATAATGTGATATGAGAATGCATAGAGTCTTGATTGACATGCATCATGTGCATAAATGTTTTTAAGGGTACGATATGGAATACACCGCCAGAGAAGGCCTCCTAGTGTAAAAGATTTGGGGATTAGTCATTGGGGATAGCTTTAAGCCTATAAAAATAATCGATTATTTGGGAAATAATCGATTATCTACGAGAAGAGGAATTCCAGAAGTCTCTGGAATAATCGATTATTTGGGCAATAATCGATTTTCTGGGAAGTAGAATACAAAGAGTCTTTGGAATAATCGATTATTTTGCAGCTAGTAGGCCTGATATAATGTTTGTTGTGTGCTTGTGTGCAAGATTTCAGGCAAATCCAAAAGAATCTCACATGAAATCTGTAAAGAGAATTCTTAAATATCTGAAAGGAACAACTAATGTAGGTTTGTGGTATCCAAAGGGAGTCTCACTACGTCTGATAGGCTACTCGAATTCAGACTATGCTGGGTGTAGACTTGATAGAAAAAGCACAAGTGGTACTTGTCACCTACTAGGAAGTGCACTAGTCTCATGGCATAGCAAAAAGCAAGCTTGTGTTGCTTTAAGTACAACTGAGGATGAATATATAGCTGTTGGGAGTTGTTGTGCTCAAATTCTCTGGATGAAACAACAATTAAGAGATTATGGTACTGAGCTGAATAAAATTCCCTTGAGGTGTGATAATACAAGTGCAATAAATCTGACCAAAAATCCAATTTTGCACTCTAGGACAAAACACATAGAAATAAGACACCACTTTTTAAGAGATCATGTTCAGAGAAATGATTGTGTTGTAGAGTTTGTTGAAACTAGTAAGCAATTAGCTGACATATTTACAAAAACCTCTACCAAAGGAAAGATTTAATCAACTGAGAATTGAACTAGGAATAGTCAATGAATCTTGTTTGAATTGATTGTGATTATGCATCTGAGATTGATTGTGTGATTGATTGGTTGATGTATGTGTAAGACATTGATGTATAATGCATAAAAGAGAGTTTTTAAGAGTTGAATTAGATTTGGAATGGTTTGAAGAGTTAGAAATAATAGAAGCAAAACTTCTCTGGAATAATCGATTATT